AAAGTGTGAAAGTGTCTTAAATCATCTCATGCCTGTAATGTACAGGATTATTAATAAATCCAGTACTAATGTTGCAGATTGTAATCGGCTGCTGCAGCACAGATATGATGCTGGATTCTTTTTGCATGAAGACTTTCTTCAGCTGATTGTCTCCGTCTCTCTGCCTGCAGCACGCCCTGGACCTGCAGCTGGCGGTGGCCAACATCCTGCAGCTGCTGGTGAACAGTGAGAGGAACCAGCAGGTGTTGTGTGAAGCCTGCCTTCACCAACGGCTGCTGCAGCGCTGCAGTCAGGCCCTGGGTGATGAGGACCACCCGCTGCACCCCCCGCTGCAGAGGATGTTCGAGAGGCTGGCCTCGCAGGCTCTGCAGCCGATGGCACTCAGGTGCACAAACACACGTGTTTTTTTATTTTCCTGCTTTGGGTTTTACTCTTTATTACAAAAACAAAGCAAACAATAACTGATGAGAGAGTTTTTAAGGCTAAACGTGTCATAAAAGCTAAAACAAACAAAACACTAGCTAAAAGCTAGAAGAGGCAAAATGCCAACAAACAGCCAGTGAAATCAAAACACTGGATAGAAGCTACAAATTCTTAAAAGCTTGTTAAAACTAGCACAAAGCTAGTTTTTACCTAATTTACCCCTCTGGGATCAATAAAGTATTTTTGAATTGAATTGAATTGAGTTAGACGTAGCAAAAAGCTAATTAAAAGTAGCAAAACGCTAGCTTAATCTGAAAGCAGCAAAAGACTGTGGTAAAAGGAGTAACAGGCTAACTAAAGGTTTAAGGAACACTAACATTAGCCAGAAGCTAAAAAGCAAGCTAAAAGTGGCACAAAGCTAGCTGCGTAAATGGTAAAAACAGCAACAGGCTAATCAAAAGCTTTAGAAACTCTTAACAGTAGCAAGAAGCTAACAGTAGCCCAAAGCTAGGTAAAAGGGGCACAAACCTAGCTTAATCTGAAAGCAGCAAAAGACTGTGGTAAAAGGAGTAGCAGGCTAACTAAAGGTTTAAGGAACACTAACATTAGCCAGACGCTAAAAAGCTAGCTAAAACTAGCACAAAGCTAGCTAAATTGTTACGTAGCTAAAGTCTGCGTAAATCGTAAAAACAGCAACAGGCTAATCAAAAGCTTAAGGAACCCTAAACAGTAGTTAGAAGCTAACAGTAGCACCAAGCTAGCTAAATCCTTATGTAGTTAAAAACTTACCTTTTTAAATCGGCATTTGTTTAAATTTGCTCTGTCTATTTTTATTTTATTGTATTCTATTCTATTTTATTTTTGTTTGTGTTGAAGCACTTTGTGATGTTTATCTTGAAATGTGCTATATAAATAAAGTTTTACTTACTAACTTACTTACTTACTTATTTACTTACTTACTTACTACTTACTTACTTATTTACTTATTTACTTACTTATTTACTTACTTATTTACTTATTTACTTACTTATTTACTTACTTATTTACTTACTTACTTACTACTTACTTACTTATTTACTTACTTACTTAACCTAACCCTAAATGTTAGCTACTGAAAACAAGTAATTTTGTGTTTAAAACGGGAACATTTGTAAATGTTTCTAATCAGGTAAAAATAACCTTTCAGAAAGAAGTGAATCTGTGTTATTTTGTGTTATTCCCTGAGCGGATGTTTAATCTGCCGACAGGTTTCAGAATGAATGCTGTGTAGATTCAGGTGAAACGGAGTCTTTCTCATTTCTCACTTGGCTGATTAAATGAGATGGGCGGTCAGAGTTTAGGAATGAGAGCGAAGCTATTTCATATGTTTCATATGTAAATGTGGGCTGTCTGGTTGGACTCTCCACCTTTAATAATGCAGGAAACACATCTGCATTCATCGTTCCTCAGGTTGTGTGACTCATCCTGTGCTGTCAGTCCTCTCACTTTTTTATTATTATTTATTTCATCGTGTCTCTGCTCTGCTTTCGTTGCTTCCAGCAACAACTCCAGAGTTTCTGTCAGAGCGAGTTGCTCTGAAGTTGTCTGGTTGGAGTTGAAAGTGTCGCACACTGGAGGCTGTGATAGCTGACACAAACTCTGAGACGCAGTCAGCTGGCTGTGACTGAAAACTGCTGCTAATCTGATGCAGAGGATTAACCAGAGAAATCACCTCTGGCTAAACTCAGCACAGCTAAACTTTAAAATTAAACTAGAGAAAATGCTTTTTCTAAAAAATATAACAATGCTGAATGGCTGCTGATATTAGCTGAAGAAGCTACAATGGAGTTATAAAAGCTAAACTAGCCAAAAATAACAAAACATGAACTAAAACCAACATGTACTAAAAGGCCAATTAGAAGCTATCAGTACCAGAATTGTAGCTAAAAGTTGTAGGAATGTAGCTTAAAGTAGAGGAATAAAGCTAAATGCTAAGTATAGCAAATGGCTTGTTAAAAGTACCATAAGGCTAGCTTAAAACTCACTGTAACGTTAAGCTAGCTACAATCTAAAAGTAAAACAAGCCAAGCTAAAAGTAACGAAAGCTACTACTTTTTAATTTTTTCATTTTAATCTTCACTCTAACAACCATTAGATTAATAACAAGCCGAAATGGATCGGTGCCACAAATCTGTTGTAATATTTTTATAATAAATTAATACTTGTTTATTTTGTTAAAACAGCAGATATACAAGAAAAATATAAAATTTATAAGTAACAACGACTTCAAATACAGTATATTTATTATTTCATACCATCATAAATAGTAATAATAAATATTTACAAGTCATCAGTGTTCTCTGTATACCTGGTTATAGGGTGAAACTCTACTGATGTTAGCTAACATCTTCTCATCAGGTCAGGTTCCTCTAACAGAAACCTAAAAACTGTTAAAATATATTTATTATTTTACACTGTGTAAATATTACATAAATCAGAAACAAACCAGTTTGTAATATTTAATCAATTTGTGCTAAATTGTAGCGTGGTTTAGCAGAGCTACACTTTGTACAGCAATACACGCTACATATGCTAATATCTGCTAACAATTCAATCATTAACAGTAATAAAATTATGATTTATTATTTAATTACTGCGGAAAAATAAAGGCTGTTTCTATTTTATTCTGATTTCATCAGATTTATGGGCTTACCAGTGTGCATTGCCAATGCAATGCACACTATTGTGATTTGTTTCCCATCCAAGTCATCTCCACTTTGGCACGCTTCTCCTCCTGCATACTTTGTCCTAGAGCTGCCATTGTAATTTATATCTGTAAAGCTCCTGTGCCAAATGATTGCTATGCCTTTTGGTGCTTGTACAACCTATAGTTTTAGAAATATTAATGTTTAAAATCAAATAATGGGAGTCAATGGAGCCTTGTATTGGTCCAATACTGTCCCATGCTGTATCTACTCAGTACTGCACCATAGTTTAATACTATTTAAACTCAGTAGTTCAGTGTTTACAATACGAACATGATTGTATTTTGATATTTCACTATAATATTGTCCTAATATTCCTTTATTGTTGTAATATATTGCAGTTTAGTGTCAACAATTGCATTGGCAATATGGCCTCTTTCAGCACACATACAAACCTAACACTGGGAGTACTTACTGCAACAGCTCCTATAGTCTCATGGTGAACACTATGGGCTTTCATGTGGGAGATCAGGGATCAATCCCAGCTATAAACAAAATATTTCATTAAAACTGCATATTTTCTAATTGTCATATTCTCATACAATTACCCTCATTACAAACAACTGCTGACTTGGCAGGCACAAGCTGGTACTTGATTAACAAACACATTTCAACTTGGTCACAGTTCAAGCTGCAGGCAAAGGCATGCTGAAATGGCATGCTACAAGGCAATGCACACTTGTTTTTACATCGTAAAAACCCATGTCTTGCTGTAATTTTAATTTTCAAATTTTAAGATCAATGAAACAATTTCCTGTTTCTCTTTTGTTGGTAAATCCATGACTCACAGCTTTCTGACAGTTTTATAAACATTAGATAGATTATATGTTAATAATATTATATATATTTGTCAGTATGTACAGTAATGATGAATCCTGGTCAGGTTAGCACCACAGCTCCAGTAGATCACATGATCATGTGGTTTAGACTCACTCCAGCTGTTCTACACACCTCCATGGTTGCAGATGGATCGTCATTCTGTTCGTTCTCCCCTGCAGGGAATTCTTACGTCTGGGAAACCCTCTGAACTGCGGCGCCTGGGACAAGAAGCTCCTGAAGCAGTACCGCGTCCACAAACCCAGCTCTCTGGGCTACGACGCAGAAATGAGAAGTAAGCACCGTGGATCTGATGCAAGCTGCTTGTTTTCTGTTAACAGCTGCTGATGTTTGTAAATAACTGGGCTCATCAGCAGGTCCTAATTGTATATTGTGTCTCCTCCCAGCTGATATTGGATATCAAATTAATTACAGCAGTTAACAAGCAGCCACTGGTGGAACACATATTCTGCTCAGATTATTAGCTGCTAATGATGTCTGCTATGACTACTTCACTTCTTTTTGTTCATCTTTGTCACATCTGACGCCTCATAAATTAGACTTAGAATTATTATTTAATCAGTAAAAGATAAGTTGTTGTTTGTGCAGGAGCTCACAAAGGTGCAGCACATGAAATATCTCTGCTCAGTGGTTCAGTTTGCAGTTTTCTGCTCCGTTTGACGTCCACAGATAGCATGACCCTGTCCATGGAGGGCTTCGGACCCGACAGCGTCTTCACCACGCCGGCGGAGGACAACGGCCAGTACCGCATCAGCCGCAGCCTGGTGCGCTCCGCCGAGGACAGCACTGTGCCCCTGACCCGGGTCAAGTGCCTGGTGTCCATGACCACGCCCCACGACATCCGGCTGCATGGGTCGGCCATCACGCCGGCATGCGTGGAGTTTGACACCTCGCTGGAGGGATTCGGGTGAGTCGGCAGGGTTTGTTTTAATAAAAAGAACAAATCTCCTTCATGTTCTAATGAGAGCTGCAGGAAGGAAGTGTCTAATGTACGCTTGTCTGAGAGCATCAGGACCAGTGTCATGTTTCCTCTCTCAGGAACAGCAAACGGAAGTGATTCTGTGCTGCAGGTCATACCAACAGCTGCACCGCACAAAACTGTTTGTTTATTTTTCTGCACACATTAAATTGTATCTTTAAGCACTTAGTTGTTAGTCGCTTCACACTTTTTTTTTTCTGAATCGACAAACAAAAGGAAATAAAAAAAAACATTCACAAGATTATTGAAAAACCTTCAAAATGTCTTGAGAACTCGAGCTACGTGAAAAAAAAAGGTAAATATAAAGGCATTTGGGATTTTAAAGACCTTCAAGCAGGATCTGAGACTCTCTAGGCATTTTTGCATTATAAGGCCCAACCCGACCAGGCCCGTCAGCCTGGCCTTATTCTACCCAGCCCTTATTGTGTTTTCATTGAGCAGAGAGCAGCTTTGATGTCAGCAGTGATCATAATATTAAAAATGTACAAATATTTTGTTTTATTTGCGACACAACAATAATGGACTACACCAAACTCAGAGGAAAAGTACTGAAAACTGTACAGGACCATCTGGCAGTAAGGCGTTGAAAAGGAGACGGCTAGATGTAGGGCTGGGAAATAAATCAATAATGATATTGCGATACACATGATTAATATCAATAGAAAACAATGATATATTGTGATACACTTGATTAATATCAATACAAAACAATAACGATAAATATCGCGATACACATGATTAATATCAATAGAAAACAATAATGATATATCGCGATACACATAATTAATATCAATGCAAAACAATAACGATAAATATCGCGATACACTTGATTAATATCAATAGAAAACAATAATGATATATCGCGATACACATGATTAATATCAATAGAAAACAATAATGATATATCGCGATAAACATGATTAATATCAATAGAAAACAATAATGATATATCGCGATACACTTGATTAATATCAATATAAAACAATAACGATATATATCGCGATACACATGATTTATATCAATAGAAAACTAATGATATATCGCGATACACTTGATTAATATCAATAGAAAACAATAACGATATATATCGTGATACACATGACTAATCAATAGAAAATGATAACAATATATGACGCAGTACAGTGAATAATATCAATATAAAACGATATATATTGCGATACACTTGATTAATATCAATAGAAAACAATGATACATGGTGATACATGTTATTAATATCAATAGAAAAATATGTCTGATAGAATTTTGATAGTTTCACTGAACTGCGATGCAGAGCTACATCTGGGGGGATGTAGGTAGAGGAAAGACTTGAGCCTCTGGACGTGTCAGGCCCAGCTATACAAGGTTGGTGCATTAACTAACTCTCCCACTCTTTGGTGTGATTTATGAAAGGACTGAAGCAGCAATGGTGGTTTTGAAGTCAACTTGCTGCTGTAACGCCTCTGATTCACCAAACGAGGTAGTGACAGATGAGAGCTGGTATCGCAGCTCGATGTTTGATGGTGTGATGGGTTGATGGTTTGATGACAGGCGGTCTGTGAGGCTATCTGGCTGTAGGATTTAGAGCGGCAGATGTCCAGCACACAGTCTCTGCAGAGCAACACCTCTAAGTTACTCTCCGTGTCTTCTTTGGTTCTCACGATTACTTCATTCATGAAAGCTCACTGAAGTGGCCGGCTTGATCCGTGATGTGTGAATGAAGGTGTTTCAAACAGCCTGCTGTTACTCTGAAAGCTGGTAAATAATTACTGTCTTCTATTTAGTTTATTCTAAACTTTTAATTTGTTGATTCAGTTAAATAATGTTATTTCACAAACTTTTAGAAAGCTGTTCTGCTAACCCCCGTCTGTAAATTGTGTGAATCAGTTTTCCTCACCGCTGACAGACACGCGTGTTATTTCAGCCAGCAGTGAAACGAGCTGTTTTTCCTTTTTACTTTCTCACAGCACCTGCAACTGTCTCAGCGGGAGCCTATTATTTGCCTCCAGTAGTGAAGCTGCGCATACAAAGTGGCTTATTTTCCACCTTTTATGTTGTGCGTTTGTCTTGCTGCTGTCAGCCTCGGCTGCACCCCGGGGTTAGAGCTGCGTGTTACGGTTGGACTGGATGGAAAATATGTTGTGTGGGATTTGACCTTGGCTGTTAGCCACCACACTCACACGACAAATACACACAAGACATGGACATTCAGTGAAGAAGTAGTGAGAAACTGTGAAAATGCTTGTTTCTGTTATTTTTGCAGGTAATTTATTGTGTTTTGGATTTGTAGATACAGCTTGATAAGATGCCACCTTTTAAATCTTAGGAGAATGTGTTGCAGTGGAAGACTAACCCACAGGGTTCAAAAGTAACCAGTAGCTGGAGAATTTTACAAAGTAAAAGATCCATTTTGGTGCATTTTAGATGACTACTTCTGATGCAGAACACCCCAACCAGTGAGGATTCCCAGTCTGAAACCTGCAGTGAATTAGTGTTATTAGGGCTGCAAATAACCATTATTTTAATAATCGATTAATCTGTCCATAATTTTTTCGATTAATCAGCCAAATCCAAAATGTAAAAAAAGGGAGGAAAAAGTATTCCTGCACCGTAGGAATGATAGCGAACTAAAGACATTAGTGTGTGACCGGGCCGCTCCTCGAACAACAACAAACACTTGTTCATCTGTAATGGCTGCCGTCTACCGGTGTTCTGAAAAAGTTTGTATCCCTGAAAAAATGTTTCCCCACCAGAGGGGGGCGCTCGCGAGTAGGAAGTAATCTGCTTTTCCCCCAGAAGATGGCCCAAATCTTATGTGAAGTCTCTGACTTTTGTGTTGGTTCATCCTGGTGGACTATGTGTAAAATGTCAGAATTCATATGATGCTGCTACAGCTGATATATATTTGTTGT